GTTGCAATCTCGGCCGAGGGGCAGCGCGCCGCGCTCTCTCGGTGGTCAGCCGAGACGGCCTCCTGGCCCCGCCACCGCCCCGCCACCGCCCGCCACCGCCCGCCGTCTACCCCCGCCGCCGCCGCCACCAGCCCGGCCCCAGCGACCCCAGCGACCGGCCGCCCACGGCAGGCAATACGGCCAAATGGTCGGCAATTTGCAGAGTTGTATTTCACTGTTATTTATCCTCTTGGGGTACGGCCGGCGGGCTGCCCGGGGCGCGACCGAAGTTGGAAATGAACGCGCTCCCGGGCACGGGCTGCAGACGGGCCCGCGGCAGCGCCGGTGAAAAATCGCTAATGAAGCGTTTCACACGATGGCTATTAGCCAGGGGTTGGAAAGCTGCCTGGCGCCGCTGAACCCGTCACAATTTATGGCCCAAGTTAATGACAGTTCAAAAGCTGTGAATATCGAAATCGTTACAACTTTTCACATCGATCAGCTGAGGCCGGGGCGGCTGGTAGGTGCGGCCGACGGCGGCCGCCTTTCCTCGCGCGCTCTGCCGCACCCACCGCACCCTCTGCCACCCACCACACCCTGGCACCGCCCGCTCTTCGCCGCCAGCCAGCTCGCTAAGCCGAGCGGCAATTAAAGCTGACACAGTCGACGGGCCATGTTTCCACGTCTGAATGTCGTGATCAGCTTAAAAAACACGAGATTCCTTGCAGGATAATTGCCAAGAGGTCGCCCAAAACCGGTACTACTGTCCTTCGCGTCGGTTTTGCACGAAAAATTCCTCCATCTTTTGCAGGCGGCGTCGGCGGGCCGGGCGGCGGACCCATTCAGCGTCGGTCGGTCGTCTGGGCTGACCGGTCGGCCGCCGAGCGGGGTGACGACTGAGCGGAGCAGGCCGGCGTGACGCGCCGCGACAAATCCGGCGCGGCCGCCGCTAATCCGCCGCGGCCGGCCTGCAAGCGCCACTCCGGCGGCGCCGCGCTCCGAGAATGCCGCATTAAAAACCGGGCCGCCGCGCCGACGCCGTGTCGTCAGCATTAGGCCTTTGAATCAAGCTAATGGTGGCGAGTGGCGGCGGCAGCCCTGAGCGCCGGCGCGCGCGCGCCCTCGCAGCCCGAGCGGCGCATAACAATGCAGCGCGGCGCACGTGTTTCGACGCCACTGAAGCATGCGCCGCCATTACATTGTGGAACATTTCTATTTAATCTTGATTACGGACGCTGCCCGCAAAAGTGCCCTGCCATCGTTGGCCAAGGAGCGCCAAGCTGTGAGCCTAAATCACACCGTTACGAAGCAGTCGCGCTAATTGTGGTGGGCGGTGCTGCGGCCACGGGCGGCCGCCGGCCGAGTGCAGCCGCCGCGTGCCGGCGGGCGGCCAGCTGCGCGCTCTGGCAGCCAGCTGCAGCTCCCAGCCAGCCTCAGCCGCCGCGCCGGCCGGCCGGCCGACCGGGCAGGAATGCGGGCCGGCCGGCCGGCCGGGATGCGGGCTCCGCCGGGTCCCGCTGAGAGCTCGTAAAGCGTCGCCACCGGCCCGCTGCACACGCCACCTCGTCTTAATGGAAAATGACAATTATGTAGCGGCTGAGGGACAGGCCGGTGTGCGGGCGGGCGCCGCGCTGACAGAGGGCCCATTTCGGGCGGGGAGAGCGCGCCGGGTGGGGCCGGCCGGCCGGCGCCGCCGCCCACACGCGCCGCCCGCCAGCCCTCACAAAAGACAACTTTCCGTCCATTTTTACCAAAAGAATCCGACCGAACGTGACTGGAGTGGCGATGACCACTGCCGGCCCCAGAGTCTAAATATCTCACATTGTGATAAATAGCCGAGGCCGCAGGAGAGTGGAGCGGCGGCGCGGCGGTCCTTTGGGGCGCGTCACTGGAACCACGACAGGTCGGCCGGCGTGCCTCCCGCGCGCGGCGCGCGACGTTCACGTTCAAACGGTGCTGACGCTGTCCCCGTCGCTCCGCCCCCGCGGCGACGCTGTCAGTGGCGTCACGCCACATTGTCGGACTGCCAAGACGGCCGGGTATTATGTAAAACACGCCGGGCGCACGGCCCGACTGCACGCCCGCTCGGCGTGGCCGTTTTTACCGCTCTGCGCCGCTCGCGCCCGACTCGGGCCGGCAGATGTCCCAAGCCCGTCTCCGCTGTGCTCCAACGTCCGTTTCCAGAAGATAGGTACCTGGAGAGTCGTCAGCGGCCGCCCTACCTGCCGCCCGTCCCAGAGCGGCAAATTAGCCCTCTCCTTAAAAGGTTCTCGGCCGGCCTTACGCAGGGATTTTAGGCACGTCGCGCTATTAAGCCCTTTCAGGTAATCAGGTGCGCTCGTCCGATAAAGCCGCTCGGCTAAAAGGGGTTTTCGTGGGGATAATGCGCCTACAATGTGGCCATTGTCGGCCGGGGTAAACGGAGCGGGCTGGCGCGGGCCGGCGCGGTGACACGGCCCGTCCCGGTGGCGCCGCGGCGCCGCGCGCCCGCCCTTCCGTCGGCGGTGACGCACAGAGTGGACCGCTGGGAACGGCGCCGCGCCGCCGCTGTCGCCGGCTCGGAAATTCCTCATGAATTTCGCGACACTCGCTCCACCGGCGCGGTTCGCCGAAGCCGGCCGCCGCGACATCAAAGTCAGCAGCTGACTTACCACAGGCCACTGTCATAAAGCCGGATACTTCGTGTTTCCACTTAACTAATTGCAGAGATATAACTGCAGCCGTCTTTATTGGAATAGAACATTAGCCAGACGGCCCGGGGCCCTTCATGGAGCGACCTGCAATGTAACCAATGCACGCAATGCAACGCAACAGCAGAAACAAGTTGCCCGTCTGGTTTGGACGAGGTAATATTACAAAAGCACGGCGAGGTCGTCAATTGAGGGCGGCCGGCGCGACCCCACGCCGCTGCACACAGTAGCCGAGCACGGCCACCGAACTGTTTGCGCTTTTTGCAGGCTTCCATGTCGGTGTGCGGCGACAAAAACGCGTCTAATCTGGCAAAATGCGCTCTCGGGCGCGGGTTGCATGTCTGTGAAATCACGCGGGCGAGGTTTTGCGCGTCTTTAATCCGGCTGGGAGCGGCCCCGCCCGGCACCGCTCATCGGCTCCTCTCCGCGCCGCCCACTACCGGCGCCGGGCCGGGACGGGCCGGGGCCGGGGCCGGGCTGTGCGGAAACGCGCCGACCTCCAGCAGCGCGACGGTCCCGGCGCCGCCGTGTCCCGGTGCTCAGTCGTCATGGGGGCAGAATGGGACGGGTTGGGCGGCCGTCTGCGGCTGAGTGGCCGGAGGTCGCCGTCCGGCGCCGCTTAGGACAGGTACTCAGACGGTCTGGGAGCGAGCCGGCGCCGGCCCAACGACCCGGCACCGGCGGGACACATCCTCCGGCCGGCGCGCCACGAACACAACACCGAGCTCCAGCGGGCACACCGAGTCCCTGAGCTCAGCCGAATCGAGCTGCACCGGGCCTAGTAGCAGTCATTTATGCCCCGCTCCGCCCGACAGGCCCACCCCACACTGCAGCGTGTTGTTGTCAAGCTGCAAAATGCAGTATTTCATTGTCACTGAGGCCCTAATAAATCCGAGTGTTATTGAAGTGTAAACGCGCGGTGGACAATAAATGAATGGCGGGCCGGTGTAGTCCCGGCCGGCGCACCCCCATAATGGGCCCCGCGCACCGCGCTATCCCGCGTTATCGAGCCGATTAATGCACACTAGTGCTCCCTGTCTGGAAATAAATTAGCCTTTCCAGCAATAACGCTTCCTCGGTGCAATAATTCACGCCCTGTGTTCGATTTATTAGCATACCTGCAAGTACCGAGTCGGGTTAGCTCGCCAGTTATTGAAAAATATGCGCGCGCGGGCAGGTCTGGAGGCCGCTACCTAGCTCGGGCCGGACCGGACCGGAGCGCTCGCTGCACGGGTGGCCGATACCAGCCGGTGGCACGAGCCAAGATGGTATCGGCACGACGGCCGGCGCTGCCGACGCGATTGTCTCGGCGGCCGTGCGACGCAGTACATCGACGGGCCGTCAGCACCCGCGCGACTGACGAGACACCGACAGCTCGGGCGTCACCGGCGGACGGCGGCCGCCCCCGCTCCCGCCCTGGCGGCGGCGGACCACGCCCGGCAGCCGCGGCGGCAGAGATGGCTTTCTTTGTGCGAATTGGCGATGGCCGAGATTGTCGTATCAGCGGCGCATCGTCCGGTCGATACGGGAACAAATCTTCCGCTCATCTGATACCGACCAGCAAAGATGGAGGAGACTATAACGGCGCGGCGGGGACGATTCCGCGGCGCAGCTGGCGCGCGCGGCGTGTGGAGTGCGACATTGGCGGCGCACCGTTGCCGATTTCGGCGCGCGGCGCCCGTCAGTTTACGAGTCCGGTCAGCTGGCGAGTCGTAAATCCGTCAGCCGGCGCGGTTGTCACAGATGCATTAGAAAGTATATTACCGTTCGCCGCTGTCGGCGGACAGAGCACGGCTGCATAGTAAGCAGCGCACCGGCCGGCCGGCGGACGGACACGGACACGGGCACGGGCACGGGCTCGGACACGGGCTCGGACACCAGCGCAGGCCGCCACTGGCCGGCGCGTCGCGCGGATTACGCTGATCGAAAGCCGTAAAATCGGCACCGACGCGCGCGCCGTCGAAGCGGGCGGCGACTCCTGACAGCCGACGGTGCCGGTCCGGCGGTGTCGATAAAGACGCAGGCCGCCGTCACGGTACGTCGTCACGACGTGACGTGAGCCGCGTGGACGTCCCCCGGGAGACATTCACAAAGCAGAATCGACGGTCTCCTAACGATATTTAAATTTCATGTGGAGCGGCGCATGGAAGTTTGGCGTCGGGAACTTCTGAGTACTGAAGGGTTGATAGCTCTTGATAAGAAGTTCTGTGCATTGTTTTACATATCATGAATGGAAATCCGTCGTCTGGCCGGCTGGTCGGGCCGCATGGCACTCGCCCCGGTAACTGGGACGTGGCGGCGGAGCACGGCCGGCTTTCTCCCGGTACTCACGTTGTGCAGTTTGTAGTAGAGGCCACAGGCGTTGCAGACCGGCTCGCCCTGGCCGTTCCGCCGCCACAGAGTCGTCGTCGACGTCTTGCAGTTGGAGCAGGTGGTGCCGGCTCTTCGTGACGCCGACTGGAACAGAAAACATGCCCCCGTCAGTCCCTCCCGCTTTATTCCAGATCAGCTCTATCTCTGCCTCCGATATATTCGCCTCCCCCGACGCGCAGTCGGACCCGGTTATCTCCCCAGCAGCGCAGCTCTGTGGACCGATCCGGGCGCCCCAGCCGTTAACTTCTGTTTTCCCTCGCGCCGTATTAAAGCCACCCTCCATTTGATTACGCGTGGCGCCGGGCCGGCCGTCAGCCATCGATTCGACACCGAGCTGAGAGGAGCGGCGCGGCGCTATCAGCTCCACAGACGAGCTGCGCGCCGGGAGGGGAGCCGCCGCCGCCCGCGGCACACCGCCGCGCCGCCGCGGACCGGAGACCCCAGCGCCTCAGTCCGGACGGCAGAACGCGCGCGGCACGCCGGTCCGACAGCTCGTAAACGACGCGAGCGACGCACAATCAATGGCGGGATCAATCGGACACAATCGTCCGTGGCTGCTCCGGCGGTAATCAGGCTCGCCGCTCATCGACGCACCACTTCCCAGCGCTCTGGATAATGGATAAATGCCACGCCTAGCGTTTTGCAGCGGCGCCGGCATTCTTAAATAACGCAGGTATGATTAATTAAACAGCCGGATCACTATTTATTGTTTGGCCGGTGTTCGCATTAGCCGTGCCGTCTCGTTACCAGCTGATGAATTACGACCGCGTGCATTTATCTCATCAGCGCCCTGTAGCTCTGCTCGAGTGACGTCAGGCCGCTCTCGGTCCACGGCCGGTAAACAAAAGCGCTGCCGGTCGGCGGGCGCGTGCTCGGCTTTGTGGGGGAGCTGCGGGGAGCGGCGGCTCCTGCGGCGGCTCCGTGACGGGGCGGCGCCCGCCCGCGCCCGCCGCCGCCCGCTCCCGGGGCGCACACCCCCATTCAATCAGGAGCGCACCGCCGTAATACGGGTGGAAGTGGCCCACGCGGCCGGACGGTAGCCGCCCGCCTACTCGGAGGCACCGCACCCGACCGCGCCGGCATAAACTTCCCCCTTATGGATAGTGAATGGTCCCATGAATAATTCCATGCATAATTGGGCTGGCCGGACTGGCCGCAGGAAGACGGGTTTTGGGCCGCTCACCGTCAGCCCGCCGGCCGATTGATACGTATTACAAGCGCGATCGTGTTAAGAGCGGGCGGTGGCCGGTCGCGCGCGCGCTCTCATGTTTTATTCTCGGGCGCCGAGCCCGAGTAGTTTTCTGTGCAGACGGGTGTGATGTTTAGCATACAATGGCGATGTTCCTCCGATTCGGAATAAAAATTCAGACGGGCGCACGCAGACGCCGAAGCAGACCGCGAGCGAAATTCGATTACGTCCGTGTGGCCAGAATGAAAAACCGTTGCGGAACAGCAGTGGCGTTCTTACATAATGGCGCGCTAAAACGGTATTGTCGCCCGCACAGAAGGCGGGCTGAATGCAAGGACACTCGAGCGCCGGCCCACCCGCCATTATATCCCCGCTGCTCTTATTGTTGAAAATAAGACAAAACAAAAACACAATTACAATTCAGCCTGCTACGAGGGCCGACAAAAAGTCCTCCACGCAAAAAGGCCCGGTTAGAGCGGCGAAAAACACCTGATGGACAGTTGAAGACCGCAGTATGGTAATAAAACGAGTCAGCGTTGCCGTGTGCTGGGTAAAAAGACGCGAGGCGGCGGCCCACCGCAGCAGCTCGTTAGCGGTGGCCGCTGGTAGCCGCCGCTCGTCGGCCCCAGTTGGGCTCCGGTCCCGTCAGACAGCTGCCGCTGGTCCGCTGACGGACAGCCGGACGGCAGCACGGCAGCACGGACAGACGGCCACGGCAGCACGGACAGACGGTCACGGCAGCACGGGCCCCGTCCGGTACCGAGGTGACGGCGGCGTGTGAGGGGCACCGAACGGCGCGGCGGCCGGCGCCCCCGACCACTCACCACGGTATTTCCTCGCGGACGGAGCGGAGAGCGGTCGGGGGCCGCCGTGTCGGCGCCGTGGCCGCCGGGGTTCCCGGTAGGGCGGCGCCAGTCCGAGTGAGAGGCGCCGCGGCCCGTGCATCAGTCGGGTGTGGCCCGCGGACGGGGGTATTTCCGACCGACCGGGAGCCGCCGCCGCCGCCGCTACGGACGACTGTACTGGGAACGGGCGCGGGTGGGCCCGGCCGACCCGCCGTGACCGGCCCGGCACGCTAATCCGCCCGTCACGTGCACACCGCCGTATCCGCAGCTGCCCGGCCCGGCCCGCATCAAACCAGCATTTTTTGCCGCCACCGGAAAATCGGCAGCGCCCTAATGAGCCTCGCCGCTGGGAACCTGGCCGAAAAACGGACAGCCGGCCGGCCATCGGCGCCGGTCAGAGTCGCTGCGGAGCGACAGGCGGCCACCGGGCACCGCGGGTCGCCTCCTGCGCCAGCGGGCACCATCCTCTTCAGCCTTCCCTCCGTCTGCTGAGCGCGTTTCAGCTCACCCCGCCCGCTGTTTGTCTCTCGGCCGCTCGCTGTCCGTCCGCGTTGGTCTGACCTTGCCCGTGTCCTGGCGACGCCGCAGTGACCCCGGCAGTCGGCTGCGCGAGCCGACACAATGCTCCGGAGACACCGGCGGCCGGCTCAGAGCGGCGCGACGCGCGCCTTCTGGACGTTTTTGCCGGCCGGCTAAAGTGTCCAAGGTCCCGCGCGGAGCGTGCCGCCGCGTGCGTTCAGCTCACCCCTGGCGTGTCAGTGTCCGGTCCCGGGGACCCGCAGGGGTCGGACACCGGACGCACCAGGTGAGGAGGGCGGTGGCAGCTTCAGCTCGCCGGTGGCCTGTCAGTCGGCCGGCCGTAGTCGCGCTACGTCCAGCGGTCGTTCCGGCCGGCCGGCCCGGGAGCTCCCGATGAGGTAAGCGGCCTTCGCCGGCCGCCGCCGCCCCCTCACGTGCCGCCACGGCGCCGCTACCGCCCGATCATCCCCGGCGGCTTAATTAAAACCTCCGGGACTGGCGCTACAAGCGGCAGCGGACATTTTTCGCGCTCGTGCCGGCCGGCAGACGTACACGGCCGGCCGCCGCTGAAATACGGCCGATATTACTGGCGACTCCCAGGGCGGCGCCGTCTGCACGGCCGCTTATTGAGACCTCTGCAGCGCGCGGCGCTCCGCTCCGCCGCCGCCGCCGCGCAGATGAGTTGTGGCCGCGCGCGGCCCGACGACACCGGCCGGGCGCGCCGAGCGGTCGGTCGCCGCGGTCGCCGCTCCGACCGTGTCCCGACAGGTGCATGCCGACCCCTAAATATTTATGAAGCCTTCCGATCGTTCCTTTCTGGAGTCTGAGAGCGGATTTATATCCGACATAAAATAAAGGAGATTAAACTGGCAGAACGCCTGGATAAATCGTGGCGGCCAAGGCCGCACGGTGCGCCGGCGGCGGCAGTGCGGCGCGTGAGTCGGCCGGGGAGCGCGGCCCGCGGCCCCTGCACGCCCTGCGCGCGGTGCCGTGCCACTCGTGGGTGTGCGCTGACGGCGCGCTGAACGGGGCGCCGTCCGTGCACGGCGCCGGGCCGTGCCGAGCACGCCACGGCGCACCGGTCCGGGCCCGTCTGACGCCCGGCGCCCTGTCAGTCAGCACGCTACTGTGCTTTGTGTTCGGCCGGGCGCAGGACACCGCAGTGCGCCCGTCCAGTCGCGCGGCAGGACGATCGGTCGGCCGGCGCAATGCACGTCGCGTCTCTGTCCGCTCCGTATGGTAGGCTCGTTGGCGCCTGTCGCCACCTTGTCGCCGGCTATTGTTTGGACGCGGGTCTCCGCGCGCCCACCCGGTAGCGTCCGAGCTGTGAATAACGAGACGCTGAGCCGAGGGACTCTGCAGAGGCCTCGGAAGGCTGCTGTTCCAGCGAAGGAGCCACCGTTTCTTACTGGCAACATCAGGAGTCATTCATGCTAATCTGCCGTCGGAGCCGGCTGCCGGTCGGCGCTGTGCCGTTCTCAGGATCGGCGGCGGGGCGGGGCGGGGTGCTCGCCGCTCTGCAACCCCGTCCTCGACCGTACGTCAGCGGCTCCGACGCCGACATAAGTCAGCACACGCCGAATTACCGCAGATTTGCATGCAGGTCTCGCCGGCGCTCGCCGTTCTTCAGCCGAGTCCGGAGCGCGCCGACATCCGCCGCCACTGCCGCCGTGCGCCGTGACTGCCGCCGTGCGCCGCGACTGCCGACCGGCCGGTAGCCGCGCCACGTTGGCCGCCGCCGCGGCGCGCTCGTCCGACATCCAGCGGCCGTCGAGCGCCTTATCGCACCGTCCAATCGCCGCTCACTAATAGCCTAATGACTTCTAAAACGCAAAATCATACTTCCATTTCTGGCGGCGCGGCCGGTCGCCGCCGGGCCGCATTAGATTGGTTCGAATCTGTGTTGGTGCTGCGCGATGTTATCGCCGACCGGTGGCCGGCGCCAGCTCGGCCGTCAGTGCCAGTACGGCACGGCCAAACACGGCCAGATAGCATCACGGCGTCCGCGGACCGTCTGCCGGCCGGCGACATGTGTCCACCGGAGCGGCGCGTGCCCACCGGTGCCCCCCGCCGGGAGGCGCCCCCCGGCCCCGCCCCGCAGCCGCCGGGAGCCCCTCCCCGGCGCCGCAGATCCATCTCTGTCCGTCTGCCTGACCCTGTATGTCTCCGTCTGTCCCAGTACGTGCCCCGCCCCGGTGGGGCCGCTCCAGCCTCTCCGCTGTGTCAGGGCCTCCGGCGCTGGCGCCCACTCGCCCCGTCCAGTGCTCGGAACTGTTCCACCGCTCCGGCCGGGCCCAAGTTATGATTGCTGCACGGCGGCTTAGCGTTCATCCCTCGGTGCAGAGGCGCGTGTGAGCCCGCATCGGCGCTGGGGGCGGCCGGACCGGCCGCTAGCCCCAGCAGGCAGGGAGGCCACGCCACGAATTATTGTATGAATCGAGCGTTTATTGCCGAGTGCCGTTCGCTCCGTTAATTATGTTTTCATATATCATCGGCTAATGCCGTATCGCGGGCACGGCTCTATTACCGGCCGGCCGGTCGGCCGATCGAGAAAAACGGCGTCGGCTATGTGTAAAATGTGCCGCCCTGGGCCGGGCCGTGACGCGCCGGAGCCGGCCCTCTGGGCCGCGAGCTGCATGGCACGTTTATAAACCGATCTCACGGCAAACGCTAATCGCGCCCAGCCAGCCGTCAATGGCTTCATAAGTAGCCCCTTCGCGTGGAGAGGAGCCATCGGGCCCGTCGATAATTACATACTGCAGGCCCACACTAAAGTCGTAATGGCAGTGCGGCCGGCCAGCTTGTTTAGTGTAATGTACAGCGTCGCAGGGACGGCCGGTCGACCCGATCAGACGGCGATAAAATGTTTTGCAAGGCTGCGTCGAATGGCTACTCACCATGCGCTGTTTGGGCTTGGTTAGCGGTCGGTTCTGGCCGTTCATTTTGTAGTAGAGGCCGCAGGCGTTACAGAGGTAGTGACCGTTGCCATCCCGTCTCCAGAGTGGGGTCGAAGTGGCCCCGCAGTTGACGCACTCGCGACCCTCTGTAACAGAAACGCGTCACGTGAACGAACAATCGTGTAATGACTAGGACACGACCCCACACCCCATAAATCCCGGCACATGAGCTCAATCAGAAACATTCCACCAGCACGGCCGGTCAATAGACAGACTACAGGCGATTTCATGCACCTCGTTTGCGGATTATTATGGCCAGCAGTGAGCTGCAGGGTCCGCTGGGGGCAGTAGACACTCGGAACTCCTCGACGGCGCGGCCCTGGGGGACCTGGCCGACCGGCCGCCGGCCCGGCCCGGTGCCCAGGTATTGCAGTAATCAGCTAAGTAGCCGAGCCGTGCGGCGGCCGGCCGGCCGACCGACCGTGCCGCCCCGCCATTCGGCCGGCCGCAGTCATCGACAGGCGAACGGACCTCATTTGCCGGCCGTAAAATCTGGTCCGGTCCGGCCCGGCCCGGTCCGACCCGTGGCTCGGGTGTCGGCCGGCCGGGAGAGCCGGCCACTGGACCTCCGACCACAGCTCACAGCCCGGCCGGCAACTCGAGCCGCCGCAAATCGCGCCGCCACCGAGCCGGCCGCGCCGCGTCCGTCACCGGCGCGCTGATTTAGAGTCGGCCAGACGGCGGCGGCGTCTCGTCCGCGGCATGCACCGTGACCACTAATGATGATGAACGAGTCGCACCATCGACACGGAAATAACATTTTTGTAGCGCCCAAGGTGCGACACTTTTTGCGCTTTTCGACGCGCCACGTGCCGCATGTTGCGCTTCTGGTCACATCTGCGCCGCATTAGCTGTTTGGGGTGCCGGGAAGCGGCGTGAGCTCGGTTATTTCGTTCGCGGCAGATAAATCAATGGCCATGAGACGTGCAAACCCGCCCGATGTTCATAATTAAAGCCGGAGAAAGACGGATGGCACGGCACCGCAGATGCCATCGCTAATTTTGAGCCGGCCGCGACGGTCGCGGCGCAGCGGCGAGCAGTGGCGCGCCGCGGTGGGACGCGGCGACCGCGCCGCTATCTGATGGTGGGCCGAAAGTCGATCCGCGCCGTTCCTCGTCTTTACTATTTATGACGGACGATTGCAGCAAAAAGACACCGACCACGACGAATGGCCTATTGATTGTTTTAGACGAGATATGGCGCACTGGCCCGTGAAGTGGCGCCGGACCGTGAAGCGGCGCGGCCGGGGGACGGAGGGGGCGGGAGGGGGGGCACCTGAGCGGCGCGGTCAGGGACGGCGCCAGATTGGCGGACCCAGGTACCGACAGCCGGCAGGACACTAAGATGGACGGACCCGGCGGTCCGGCGGCGCCCCGGGAGCACCCCGCTGTGACCTGCCTGCAACGGTCGGCGGCGACCGAGGCCGAGCGAGGCCGACAGAGGCCGACCGGAGCCGACCGGGGGTGAACGAGAGTGACCGGAGGGGTCCCATAATTGCAGCACGCCGACCAAGGGCACCTGTGTACCTAACTACCCGGATATAGGTGGGACGGAGAAGTTGCGATCGAGTGGAGGCGCTATATGTGTCGCGAACTAATGTCAGTTCGAGGCTGCTTGAAGAGAGCGACAGATGGTGAGCATTCAGCGAGGATCTTACACGTTAGTCGCATTCACTGGTGTTAAAAACCCACCACCAGCCGTCATCACAGTGGAAATACCTACCCGTATAGCCATTGAAAAGCCATCACCAGCCATCACCAGCCATCACCAGCCATCACCGCCCATCACCAGCATGCAGTTACCGCTGGGCGTCACCAGCTGGCCCCGTCTCCGTCACCGTCACCGGCTCCGTCACCGCCACCACCTGCTGTGACCGTCCGACGAGGCTTACCGGCTGAGGAGCGCGACTTCTGCTTGGGTCGCGGGGGCGACATGTCCGGCTTGGGCCCGAACTGGGCCGGGTAGGGGGACACGAACCCGCTGGCGTTGGCCGCCAGCGGGCCCGACTCGGTGGCGGCCGCCGCACCCGCCTGCGAGTACACGCCGCCGGCGAACGGCGGCGACTGGCTCGGCTGCGTGGGCGTACCTTCGCGGGGCTTGCTGGCGCCGCCGCTCAGCACCGGCTTGATGTCGAGCGACTCCGAGTTGGTCATCGCCTGCTGCTGCTGCTGGTGTTGCGGCGGCGCCTGCTGCTGCTGCTGCGGCTGCTGCTGCTGCTGCGGCTGCTGCTGCGGGTGCTGCTGGTGGTGGTGCTGCTGGTGCTGGTGCTGGCCGTAGTCGGCCGCGGCGCTGGACGAGGCGGCGGCGGCGGCGGCGGCCTCAGCGGCCGCGTCCTTGGGCGGCGTCGGCGGGAACGAGAACAGGTGCGGACTCGACGTCGGGATGATGGGGTTCTGGACGCCGCGAGAGGCCAGCGGAGTGTACCACGAGCCGCCCGGCATCATCGAGTGCAGGTGCGACGGGAAGTGCGCCATCCGGGCTGAAACACACAGACATACGGACGGGTTATGACAGGGCCTACATGGAGACGGACAGATGGGTCACGGCAGAACGTGCAGAAATGGGAGGGTCTTGGGGCCGGGTAGCATTAGCTCTGGCAAAACTAGCGCTTACCTACGTCCCATTGTGTGTCTGATACTGCTCTTCCGCCTACTTCTTAGTTTCGTTCCCGGTTACAGCTTATCTCTCGTGCCCCGAGGCCATCCGTGTCCACCTGACCGTGCCATTTCGAGCGGCTCGGGGCGCGATCCATTCCTCGCTCGGCGCCGAGTCATCCGAGCCATCCGCGGCATCCCGGCGGGCCACCAAACAAATTGTCCGCTCCCATTTGCGGCGGCGGTGCGCCATGTGTCCCCTGGACCGTCCGCCGGCCGGGTGAGACCCGCTCGGCCGACCGGAGCCCTCCGCCCGCGGCGCTCGGCCGGCCGAGGAGGAGGTCTCCTCGGCTAATGGAGCGTCGCGCCCGTGTAGCAGCGGCGCGTAAACAAGCGCGTTGGCTCGCGGACGGCGCGCGGCCGGCGCGTCTCCTGCGATGATTTATCGGCCACTACTGAATGCCGGCGCGAGTAACGAGCCGGTCAGCGGCGCGTAATTGTAGAGCAAACACGCCGCCCGGCCGGCCCCTCGTTACTCGGCGACAATAGCGGCGCACTGAGCGCCCGCGCGCCGCGCCCGACCGCGCCGAGAATGACCCGTTTGGTCGACATTCGGCCGCTTGTGTAAACAAAACCAGCGCACCGGGCTAATTAGGCGTGCATTCCTGGCTCGGCGGCGTTCATGGCGCGCCGATCAGTCGACTGCGGCGATCCTGGCGCACCGGACCGTCTCTGGTGTCGTCAGGCGCGATCAGGCTCGGCCTTTTCAGGTGGACAGTGAGCCGTGAGGTGGTATCGACCCGGCGCGCTCGGCCCGGTCCGTGTGGGCAGTGGGTGTGCCGCTCCAGTTAGTACCGAGATGCACCAGCTGCCGTCGCCGCCCGACCGTCGATCTCTGCTACCCCCCCCCCCCCCCACCCGCTCCTCGTACCGGGAACACCGGAGCCATCAGAGCACCGGAGCCCATCAGAGCACAGACCTCAAAGCACCGGAGCACAGACCTCAGAACACCAGAGCCATCAGAGCACAGACTTCAGAACACCCGAGCCCACAGCAGCACCGTAGTCCATCAGAGGTCTCCAGAGGCCACCATAGAGCCCATCAGAGCCCAAGGTCCATCATCACCACAGCGAGGCCACATTAGCGCGGCCACTCTCGGTAAATCGCCGCCGCCGAGCGCAGCCAGCACGGCTCCATCGTCTCGGCGGAGGTGCCGTTATTAACCTGCGTCCCATCCATAACGCCCCGCGAGACACGCGAGAGGTGTTTTCCCCGGGCAGCATCACTTGGCCTGCTTGTTTCCAGTAGCGCCATCCATATTCATGCGCGGCCGCGCCGTAATACGTACAAATGACGGCCGCGCTGCCGGGCCAGTGCCATTTGTTAGCGTGGGACGCGCCGATGCGTCAAAATGGCCGTCCGGCAAATTGGAGCCGGCCGAACGAGCGGCCGGGGGCGCCAGGTGAGTCTGCCGCCACGGCCCTGTCGGCCGACTGTCTGTCACATGGTCCCGAGCGTGTCCCCCCCCCCCCCCCCTCCGACCCTGCGGCGGCGCTCACGGCACGGGAAGGCACACGGCGCGCCGTATGGCAAACCAACTGTGTAAACCGAGCGCAAGAGCTGCCAGACGGCGTCGGCGCCAAGAATGTGTGTCTCGCGTCACATGTGCGTGCACAGCTGAACTGGAAAATAGCCGACGGCGGCGGAGACCGAATTAGAGCGACTCCCGACCGACCGACCAGCTCCGTACCCCTAACGCGAACAAACGGCGCCTGTTCAAGGCGCCGAGCCTGCTGCGGATTCCCAGAATATCCCCGAAATGCAACCAGGCACAAAGCCGGAGCTAGAGCAAATGACCACAGCGGACAGCGCTGGCGGAAAACGAATTTGGCCAACTTAATGGTTTTGTCGGTCACGATTCGCGGCGATTTCGTTGCTAATGGTCAGACTGCTGAAGCTGAACAAAAACGAATTTACGAGTGGCGCGCCGGCTGGCCGGGGTCCGGCCAAGGTCGGTGACCGGTCTCGTCTCCGGGCCGCGGTGACATGAGCTGCTCCGGCGGCGGCGGCACCTGGGCCCGGTCAGCCGGCCCGCCGAGCCGCCCGCCGCCGCCCTCAATAAATATGGCCGGTCAGCCGGCCGGCCGGGCGGCGGGCGTTTCATGTCGGCGGGCGGCCGGCCGGTGTCGCCGCCCGGCCGGCCTGCGGGGGCCGGCCGCCCGTGCCATCGCCCCCTAAGTGCTCCACTATTTGAATTGGTAATCTGCGGCGAGGTGTGAGTGCCGCCGTCGGGCGCGCTTTGAGGCCGGCGGGGGGCGCCGGCGGCGCGGCCCGTGCCGTAGACTGCACGGGGCGCCGGCCCGCATAGCCGAGCTGCTCGAGCCGGTCGGACGGACGGCCGGGGACCACCGCGGCGGCCGGCAGCTGACCCGGCCCGCATGGCCAGCGGACACACAGAGAGAGCACCCGACACCGGAACGGCCGGGGGGGGGGCACACCCGGCGCCCGTCCAACCCACAGCGTCAACACAGCCGCAACACAAGAGGAAAACCATTATGTGGCGCTGGATACAACCCACTACAATTCCTTCTTATTACATTTCCTGTTCACAAGTTTGCAGAGCAATGGTTGTGGTTGATTTGTTGTACTTTTGGTAGCCACGTGCTAATGAACAGCAAACCGGCCTGGGGGGGAGGGGCAGGGGCAAAGGGGGGAGCGCTGACGGCAGCCCAGCGTCGCACCGACCGGCTTAGCCGACGACGCCGCGGCAAAGAATGAGCGCGGTTGCACGTTGCAGAATAATTGGCAGACAGGCTGGCACTTTTTACTCGCTGTCCACATACAATGTGTTCCGCGAATGCACGTTGCGAGACAGCCACTGTCGGTGGCTGCATGACACGGGAGTCGAGTGGTGTGTCTGCTCGCCAATAAACAATAATTATTGGCCGCCGATTACAACGGTGAGATCAGAGCAGTGAGGTGTGTATTTTTGACAGAAGATCTAAGAAGTGCATTTTTGCAACAGCTCGCTTGAAGTTCAGTGCATGGTAATTTGGATGAGCTGCATCATGTGTGGTGTTGTGCTGTGTTGTGCTGTGCTGTGCCTGTGCTATGTTGTGTTGTGCCGCGCTGTGCTGTGCTCCACTGTGCTGTACCATACTGTGTTGTGTTAAGGTGTATTGTGTTGTGTTGTGTTGTGTTGTGTTGTGTTGTGTTGTGTTGTGTTGTGTTGTGTTGTGCTGTGCTGTGCTATGTTGTGTTGTGCCGCTCTGTGTTGTGTTGTGTTGTGTTGTGTTGTGTTGTGTTGTGTTGTGCTGTGTTCTGTTGCGCTGTGTTATGTTGTGCCGTACTGTGCCGTCTGGTGTCGGGGCCAATAGAGCCGGGGTCACCGCGCCGCTCGCGGGGGGGGGGGGCGGGCCGCCCACCGCCAGTCGCCGCTGATGGATGGTGAGTGGTGACCGGGTCCGGTCAGGCCGCGCCGCCCCGGGCGCCCGCTACCGCCGCCCCCGCCCCCGCCCCCGCCCCGGCGCCGCGCGCAGCATGTAATTAGTCACATTTTCTCATTAACCCGAGATTCTTCAACTGCCAAAGCCCCAACTACAAACGACGCGTAATTACAGAGCAGGCGCCAAAGTTAAACTGGTTTTTGGAGCCGTATCAAAATATGTTTTAATAAAAGTCAAATGAGAGATAAACAGCAAACAGTTGGTTCATTCATGCCTTTATGGCACGAGAGCACACCCCCATGGCTCCAGCTCTGCAGACTAGTATGCCTATAGACGGTCACACTGACGGCACCACGGCTGTGATACTGCCGCCGACATGACGCCGCCGATGCCAAATCTCAGAACCCACATCGTTATTTTCCCAAATGTCAAGTGAGGTTCGATCGGCAGTTCCTAGCCCGTACGCTTAGACAATATTTACGAGAGATCTTATCGGCAAGTTCACGTAACGGCAAAACTGAGGCTAATTGAAACCGAACGAGATTGCAAATTGGCCATTGACGGAGTGTGTAAAAATGCTGCGCCATGCTGCAGCAGTCTCGCAGCCCCCAGATAGGTGGGTAGGTAGGGACCGGCCCTCTCGGCCGAGTAAAACTCTGCCGCCGCCGCCGCCGCCGCAAAAATCGACAGCGGCCGTCTGGGAAAACGCGCCCGGCCTAATCTCGCCACTATCCGGCCATAATTGTCAGAGGTGTCACGGACGCCCGTAATGTGCCACCGACCAGTGTCACGTGGTCTCCGTAATGTGTCGCCGACTGGTGTCACGTGGTCTCCGTAATGTGTCGCTAAGAGTAATGGCCTGCGGAGTTAGACGGCGTTCTGGGAAATCATATCTGTCCAGCTTTCAACGGGGCGTTAGCTAGACCGCGTTTTACAATTTAGTTGAACATAAAATTGCGTCATTCATACAATAAGATTGGTATGCTTTTTACTAGCGTACCTTCAATTAACTGCGGCTGTCACAGTTATACTGTCATATTTAAAATACATAAGGAAATTCAGAACATGACGCTTATTGAAGCAATACTGATTAACGTTCTTTACATGAATAGACGTCTATGCGAACAAATGATCCTCTGCATAAAACCGTGTGACCCAAAAATAGCCATGCAATAGCCCATGAAGCGGCATACCTACCATGATTCACGATAAAATTTTAATTGGTATCGTGCTGAAAAGGCTAGCTTACTGATACATTCATGGACACACTCCAAATCATCAACGCAAATATAGCTGCTTCAAGCGCAAATAGCAGCAATGTTTTTTTTTTAAATAATTCGTGCTCCATCATCGAATTTGTAGATCATTTCACATCAAATCGAGTCGGTGTTAGACTTTACCTAATCTGCCGCCTAATTGTTATCCAGAATTGGTGAGAG